GCCAGGGAGAACGGAAACGCTCGTTTCTCAAAAAGTAGAGGGAATCTAATGGTCTCACTCGATCAGAAGGTGGGAAATATATAAATCTAGTCAGCTAAAAAGGTTTGAAATGTATTAAACGCACATGTATAGAGAAAATGGTGCATTGGCCAGGTCGGTCAGTATCGGAACTTAAAATGCAAATGCCAGGGAGAACGGAAGCGCTCAGATCTCGCATAGTACACGGAATCAAGTGGTCTCACTCAAATAGAAAGTAGGAAATAAATTCATCTAGTGAACGTAAGGGTTTGAAAGGTAACTAACGCACATGTGTAGAGAAAATTGTGCATCGGCCAGTCTGGCCGGCATTTCGCACTTATAGTGCAACTAGGGCCAAGGAGAACGGAAACGCTCATTTCTCAAAAAGTAGAGGGAATCTAGCGGTCTCACTTGATCAGAAGGTGGGAAATATATAAATCTAGTAAGCTAATAAGGTTCGATAGGAATCTAATGCATATGTATATGGAAAATGGTGCATTGGCCAGGTCGGTCAGTATGGGAACTTAGAGTGCAAATGCCAGGGAGAACGGAAGCGCTCAGATCTCGCATAGTACACGGAATCTAGTGGTCTCACTCAAATAGAAGGTAGGAAATAAATTCATCTAGTGAACGTAAGGGTTTGAAAGGTAACTAACACACATGTGTAGAGAAAATGGTGCATCGGCCAGTCTGACCGGCATTTCGCACTTATAGTGCAAGTAGGGCCAAGGAGAACGGAAACGCTCATTTCTCAAAAAGTAAGGGAATCTAGCAGTCTCACTCGATCAGAAGGTGGGAAATATATAAATCTAGTGAGCCAATAAGGTTCGAAAGGAATCTAATGCATATGTATATGGAAAATGGTGCATTGGCCAGGTCGGTCAGTATGGGAACTTAGAGTGCAAATGCCAGGGAGAACGGAAGCGCTCAGATCTCGCATAGTACAACGGAATCTAGTGGTCTCACTCAAATAGAAGGTAGGAAATAAATTCATATAGTGAACGTAAGGGTTTGAAAGGTAACTAACGCACATGTGTAGAGAAAATGGAGCATCGGCCAGTCTGGCCGGCATTTCGCACTTATAGTGCAAGTAGGGCCAAGGAGAATGGAAACGCTCATTTCTCAAAAAGTAAAGGGAATCTAGCACTCTCACTCGATCAGAAGGTGGGAAATATATAAATCTAGTGAGCTTATAAGGTTCGAAAGGAATCTAATGCATATGTATATGGAAAATGGTGCATTGGCCAGGTCGGTCAGTATGGGAACTTAAAGTGCAAATGCCTGGGAGAACGGAACCGCTCAGATCTCGCATAATACACGGAATCTAGTGGTCTCACTCAAATATAAGGTAGGAAATATATTCATCTAGTGAACGTAAGGGTTTGAAAGGTAACTAACGCACATGTGTAGAGAAAATGGTGCATCGGCCAGTCTGGCCGGCATTTCGCACTCATAGTGCAGGTGGGGCCAGGGAGAACGGAAACGCTCGTTTCTCAAAAAGTAGAGGGAATCTAATGGTCTCACTCGATCAGAAGGTGGGAAATATATAAATCTAGTCAGCTAAAAAGGTTTGAAATGTATTCAACGCACATGTATAGAGAAAATGGTGCATTGGCCAGGTCGGTCAGTATCGGAACTTAAAATGCAAATGCCAGGGAGAATGGAAGCGCTCAGATCTCGCATAGTACACGGAATCAAGTGGTCTCACTCAAATAGAAAGTAGGAAATAAATTCATCTAGTGAACGTAAGGGTTTGAAAGGTAACTAACGCACATGTGTAGAGAAAATTGTGCATCGGCCAGTCTGGCCGGCATTTTGCACTTATAGTGCAACTAGGGCCAAGGAGAACGGAAACGCTCATTTCTCGAAAAGTAGAGTGAATCTAGCGGTCTCACTTGATCAGAAGGTGAGAAATATATAAATCTAGTAAGCTAATAAGGTTCGAAAGGAATCTAATGCATATGTATATGGAAAATGGTGCATTGGCCAGGTCGGTCAGTATGGGAACTTAGAGTGCAAATGCCAGGGAGAACGGAAGCGCTCAGATCTCGCATAGTACACGGAATCTAGTGGTCTCACTCAAATAGAAGGTATGAAATAAATTCATCTAGTGAACGTAAGGGTTTGAAAGGTAACTAACACACATGTGTAGAGAAAATGGTGCATCGGCCAGTCTGGTCGGCATTTCGCACTTATAGTGCAAGTAGGGCCAAGGAGAACGGAAACGCTCATTTCTCAAAAAGTTAAGGGAATCTAGCGGTCTCACTCGATCAGAAGGTGGGAAATATATAAATCTAGTCAGCTAATAAGGTTCGGAAGGAATCTAATGCATATGTATATGGAAAGTGGTGCATTGGCCAGGTCGGTCAGTATGGGAACTTAGAGTGCAAATGCCTGGGAGAACGGAACCGCTCAGATCTCGCATAATGCACGGAATCTAGTGGTCTCACTCAAATATAAGGTAGGAAATATATTCATCTAGTGAACGTAAGGGTTTGAAAGGTAACTAACGCACATGTGTAGAGAAAATGGTGCATCGGCCAGTCTGGCCGGCATTTCGCACTCATAGTGCAGGTGGGGCCAGAGAGAACGGAAACGCTCGTTTCTCAAAAAGTAGAGGGAATCTAATGGTCTCACTCGATCAGAAGGTGGGAAATATATAAATCTAGTCAGCTAAAAAGGTTTGAAATGTATTCAACGCACATGTATAGAGAAAATGGTGCATTGGCCAGGTCGGTCAGTATCGGAACTTAAAATGCAAATGCCAGGGAGAACGGAAGCGCTCCTCTTTCGCATAGTACACGGAATCAAGTGGTCTCACTCAAATAGAAAGTTGGAAATATATTCATCTAGTGAACGTAAGGGTTTGAAAGGTAACTAACGCACATGTGTAGAGAAAATGGTGCATCGGCCAGTCTGGCCGGCATTTCGCACTTATAGTGCAACTAGGGCCAAGGAAAACGGAAACGCTCATTTCTCAAAAAGTAGAGGGAATCTAGCGGTATCACTCGATCAGAAGGTGGGAAATATATAAATCTAGTGAGCTAATAAGGTTCGAAAGGAATCTAATGCATATGTATATGGAAAATGGTGCATTGGCCAGGTCGGTCAGTATGGGAACTTAGAGTGCAAATGCCAGGGAGAACGGAAGCGTTCAGATCTCGCATAGTACACGGAATCTAGTGGTCTCACTCAAATAGAAGGTAGGAAATAAATTCATCTAGTGAACGTAATGGTGTGAAAGGTAACTAACGCACATGTGTAGAGAAAATGGTGCATCGGCCAGTCTGGCCGGCATTTCGCACTTATAGTGCAAGTAGGGCCAAGGAGAACGGAAACGCTCATTTCTCAAAAAGTAAAGGGAATCTAGCGGTCTCACTCGATCAGAAGGTGGGAAATATATAAATCTAGTGAGCTAATAAGGTTCGGAAGGAATCTAATGCATATGTATATGGAAAGTGGTGCATTGGCCAGGTCGGTCAGTATGGGAACTTAGAGTGCAAATGCCTGGGAGAACGGAACCGCTCAGATCTCGCATAATACACGGAATCTAGTGGTCTCACTCAAGTATAAGGTAGGAAATATATTCATCTAGTGAACGTAAGGGTTTGAAAGGTAACTAACGCACATGTGTAGAGAAAATGGTGCATTGGCCACTCTAGCCGGCATTTCGCACTCATAGTGCAGGTGGGGCCAGGGAGAACGGAAACGCTCGTTTCTCAAAAAGTTGAGGGAATCTAACGGTCTCACTTGTTGAGAAGGTGGGAAATATATAAATATAGTCAGCTAAAAAGGTTTGAAATGTATTCAATGCACATGTATAGAGAAAATGGTGCATTGGCCAGGTCGGTCAGTATCGGAACTTAAAATGCAAATGCCAGGGAGAACGGAAGCGCTCAGATCTCGCATAGTACACGGAATCAAGTGGTCTCACTCAAATAGAAAGTAGGAAATCTATTCATCTAGTGAACGTAAGGGTTTGAAAGGTAACTAACGCACATGTGTAGAGAAAATTGTGCATCGGCCAGTCTGGCCGGCATTTCGCACTTATAGTGCAACTAGGGCCAAGGAGAACGGAAACGCTCATTTCTCAAAAAGTAGAGGGAATCTAGCGGTCTCACTCGATCAGAAGGTGGGAAATATATAAATCTAGTGAGCTAATAAGGTTCGAAAGGAATCTAATACATATGTATATGGAAAATGGTGCATTGGCTAGGTCGGTCAGTATGGGAACTTAGAGTGCAAATGACATGGACGTGGACGTGGACGTGGACGTGGACATGGACATGGACGTGGACATGGACGTGGACGTGGACATGGACGTGGATGTGGACATGGACGTGGAAGTGTCCATGTCCACGTCCACGTCCACGTCTATGTCCACGTCCACGTTCACGTCCACGTCCATGTCCATGTCCATGTCCACGTCCACGTCCATGTCCACGTCCACGTCCATGTCCAAGTCCATGTCCCTGTCTACGTCCACGTCCACGTCCATGTCCACGTCCACGTCCTCGTCCACGTCCAGGTCCACGTCCATGTCCACGTCCACGTCCACGTCCACGTCCATGTCCACGTCCAAGTCCATGTCCACGACCACGTCCACGTTCACGACCACGTCCACGTCCACGTCCACGTCCACGTCCACGTCTAAGTCCATATCCACGTCCACGTCCATGTCCACGTCCACGTCCATGTCCACGTCCACGTCCACGTCCATGTCCACGTCCACGTCCATGTCCACGTCCACGTCCACGTCCACGTCCACGTCCATGTCGACGTCCACGTCCACTCCACGTCCACCTCCACGTCCACGTCCACCTCCACGTCCACGTCCACGTCCACGTCCACGTCCACGTCCACGTCCATGTCCATGTCCAGGTCCACGTTCACGTCCATGTCCACGTCCAAGTTCTCCACGTCCACGTCCACGTCCACGTCCACGTCCATGTCCACGTCCACGTCCATGTCCACGTCCATGTTCACGTCCACGTCTTGTCCACGTCCACGTCCATGTCCACGTCCACGTCCACGTCCACGTCCACGACCATGTCCGCGTCCACGTCCATGTCCACGTCCACGTCCATGTCCACGTCCATGTCCACGTCCACGTCCACGTCCACGTCCACGTCCACGTCCATGTCCACGTCCACGTCCACGTCCATGTCCACGTCCAAGTCCTCCACGTTCACGTCCACGTCCACGTTCACGTCCTTGTCCACGTCCAAGTTCTCCACGTCCACGTCCACGTCCACGTCCACGTCCTCCACGTCCACGTCCACGTCCACGTCCACGTCCACGTCCACGTCCATGTCCACGTCCACGTCCACTCCACGTCCACTCCACGTCCACGTCCACGTCCACGTCCACGTCCATGTCCACGCCCATGTCCACGTCCACGTCCACGTCCACGTCCACGTCCACGTCCACGTCCATGTCCACGTCCACGTCCATGTCCACGTCCACGTCCACGTCCACGTCCACGTCCACGTCCACGTCCACGTCCATGTCCACGTCCACGTCCACGTCCATGTCCACGTCCAAGTCCTCCACGTCCACGTCCACGTCCACGTTCACGTCCAAGTCTACGTCCAAGTTCTCCACGTCCACGTCCACGTCCACGTCCACGTCCTCCACGTCCACGTCCACGTCCACGTCCACGTCCACGTCCATGTCCACGTCCACGTTCACTCCACGTCCACTCCACGTCCACGTCCACGTCCATATCCACGTCCATGTCCACGTCCACGTCCACGTCCATGTCCACGTCCATGTCCACGTCCACGTCCACGTCCACCTCCATGTCCACGTCCACGTCCACGTCCACGTCCATGTCCATGTCCACGTCCACGTCCACGTCCACGTCACGTCAACGTCCACGTCCATGTCCACGTCCACGTCCACGTCAACGTCCACGTCCACGTCCACGTCCACTCCACGTCCACGTCCATGTCCACGTCCAAGTCCTCCACGTCCACGTCCACGTCCACGTTCACGTCCATGTCCACGTCCAAGTTCTCCACGTCCACGTCTACGTCCACGTCCACGTCCACGTCCTCCACGTCCACGTCCACGTCCACGTCCATGTCCACGTCCACGTCCACGTCTACGTCTACGTCCACGTCCACGTCCACGTCCGCGTCCACGTCTACGTCCATGTCCACGTCCACGTCCACGTCCACGTCCACGTCCACGTCCACGTCCACGTCCACTCCACGTCCACCTCCACGTCCACGTCCACGTCCGCGTCCACGTCTACGTCCATGTCCACGTCCACGTCCACGTCCACGTCCACGTCCACGTCCACGTCCACGTCCACTCCACGTCCACCTCCAAGTCCACGTCCACCTCCACGTCCACGTCCACGTCCACGTCCACGTCCACGTCCACGTCCACGTCCATGTCCACGTCCAGGTCCACGTCCACGTCCACGTCCACGTCCACGTCCTCGTCCACGTCCATGTCCACGTCCACGTCTTGTTCACGTCCACGTTCACGTCCACGTCTTGTTCACGTCCACGTCCATGTCCACGTCCATGTCCACGTCCAAGTTCTCCACGTCCACGTCCACGTCCACGTCCTCGTCCACGTCCATGTCCACGTCCACGTCCATGTCCACGTCCATGTTCACGTCCACGTCTTGTTCACGTCCACGTCCATGTCCACGTCCACGTCCACGTCCACGTCCACGTCTACGACCATGTCCACGTCCAGGTCCATGTCCACGTCCACGTCCACGTCCACGTCCATGTCCACGTCCACGTCCACGTCCACGTCCACGTCCATGTCCACGTCCACGTCCACGTCCATGTCCACGTCCAAGTCCTCCACGTCCACGTCCACGTCCACGTTCACGTCCATGTCCACGTCCAAGTTCTCCACGTCCACGTCCACGTCCACGTCCACGTCGTCCACGTCCACGTCCACGTCCACGTCCACGTCCACGTCCATGTCCACGTCCACGTCCACTCCACGTCCACTCCACGTCCACGTCCACGTCCACGTCCACGTCCATGTCCACGTCCATGTCCACGTCCACGTCCACGTCCATGTCCACGTCCATGTCCACGTCCACGTCCACGTCCACCTCCACGTCCACCTCCAGGTCCACCTCCACGTCCACGTCCACGTCCACGTCCACGTCCACATCCACGTCCATGTCTACGTCCACGTCCACGTCCACGTCCACCTCCACGTCCGCCTCCACGTCCGCGTCCACGTCCGCTTCCGCCTCCACGTCCGCGTCCACGTCCACGTCCGCGTCCACGTCCACGTCCACGTCCAGGTCCACGTCCACGTCCAGGTCCACGTTCACGTCCATGTCCACGTCCAAGTTCTCCACGTCCACGTCCACGTCCACGTCCTCGTCCACGTCCACGTCCACGTCCACGTCCACGTCCACGACCATGTCCACGTCCACGTCCATGTCCACGTCCACGTCCACGTCCACGTCCATGTCCAGGTCCACGTCCACGTCCACGTCCACGTCCACGTCCACGTCCATGTCCACGTCCAGGTCCACGTCCACGTCCACGTCCACGTCCATGTCCACGTCCACGTCCACGTCCATGTCCATGTCCAAGTCCTCCACGTCCACGTCAACGTTCACGTCCATGTCCACGTCCAAGTTCTCCACGTCCACGTCCACGTCCTCCACGTCCACGTCCACGTCCACATCCACGTCCACGTCCACGTCCACGTCCCCGTCCAGGTCCACGTTCACGTCCATGTCCACGTCCAAGTTCTCCACGTCCACGTCCTCGTCCACGTCCACGTCCACGTCCACGTCCATGTTCACGTCCACGTCTTGTTCACGTCCATGTCCACGTCCACGTCCACGTCCACGTCCACGTCCACGACCATGTCCACGTCCACGTCCATGTCCACGTCCACGTCCACGTCCATGTCCAGGTCCATGTCCACGTCCACGACCACGTCCATGTCCACGTCCACGTCCATGTCCACGTCCACGTCCATGTCCACGTCCACGTCCACGTCCATGTCCACGTCCAAGTCCTCCACGTCCACGTCCACGTCCAAGTTCACGTCCATGTCCACGCCCAAGTCCTCCACGTCCATGTCCACGTCCACGTTCACGTCCACGTCCACGTCCACGTCCATGTCCACGTCCACGTCCACTCCACGTCCACTCCACGTCCACGTCCACCTCCACGTCCACCTCCACGTCCATGTCCACGTCCATGTCCACGTCCACGTCCACGTCCATGTCCACGTCCATGTCCACGTACACGTCCACGTCCACGTCCATGTCCACGTCCACGTCCACGTCCACGTCCATGTCCACGTCCACGTCCACGTCCACGTCCACGTCACGTCCACGTTCACGTCCATGTCCACGTCCACGTCCATGTCCACGTCTAAGTTCACGTCCATGTCCACGTCCAAGTCCTCCACGTCCATGTCCACGTCCACGTTCACGTCCACGTCCACGTCCACGTCCATGTCCACGTCCACGTCCACTCCACGTCCACTCCACGTCCACGTCCACCTCCACGTCCACGTCCACGTCCATGTCCACGTCCATGTCCACGTCCACGTCCACGTCCATGTCCACATCCATGTCCACGTCCACGTCCACCTCCATGTCCACGTCCACGTCCACGTCCAGGTCCACGTCCACGTCCACGTCCACGTCCACGTCACGTCCACGTCCACGTCCATGTCCACGTCCACGTCCACGTCAACGTCCACGTCCACGTCCACTCCACGTCCACGTCCATGTCCACGTCCAAGTCCTCCACGTCCACGTCCACGTCCACGTTCACGTCCATGTCCACGTCCAAGTTCTCCACGTCCACGTCCACGTCCACGTCCACGTCCACGTCCTCCACGTCCACGTCCACGTCCATGCCATGTCCACGTCCACGTCCACGTCCACGTCTACGTCCACGTCCATGTCCACGTCCATGTCCATGTCCACGTCCACGTCCACGTCCATGTCCACGTCCACGTCCACTCCAAGTCCACCTCCACGTCCACGTCCACGTCCACGTCCACGTCCACGTCCACGTCCATGTCCACGTCCAGGTCCACGTTCACGTCCATGTCCACGTCCAAGTTCTCCACGTCCACGTCCACGTCCACGTCCACGTCCACGTCCATGTCCACGTCCACGTCCATGTCCACGTCCATGTTCACGTCCACGTCTTGTTCACGTCCACGTCCATGTCCACGTCCACGTCCACGTCCACGTCCACGTCCACGTCCACGTCCATGACCATGTCCACGTCCACGTCCATGTCCACGTCCACGTCCATGTCCAGGTCCATGTCCACGTCCACGTCCACGTCCACGTTCACGTCCATGTCCACGTCCAAGTTCTCCACGTCCACGTCCACGTTCACGTCCACGTCCTTTACGTCCACGTCCACGTCCACGTCCACGTCCACGTCCACGTCCACGTCCACGTCCACGTCCACGTCCACGACCATGTCCACGTCCACGTCCATGTCCACGTCCACGTCCACGTCCATGTCCAGGTCCATGTCCACGTCCACGTCCACGTCCACGTCCACGTCCATGTCCACGTCCACGTCCACGTCCACGTCCACGTCCACGTCCACGTCGATGTCCACGTCCACGTCCACGTCCACGTCCAAGTCCTCCACGTCCACGTCCACGTCCACGTTCACGTCCATGTCCACGTCCAAGTTCTCCACGTCCACGTCCATGTCCACGTCCACGTCCTCCACGTCCACGTCCACGTCCACGTCCACGTCCTCCACGTCCACGTCCACGTCCACGTCCACGTCCACGTCCACGTCCACATCCACGTCCACGTCCACGTCCACGTCCATGTCCACGTCCACGTCCACTCCACGTCCACTCCACGTCCACGTCCACGTCCACGTCCACGTCCACGTCCATGACCACGTCCACGTCCACGTCCATGTCCACGTCCACCTCCACGTCCACGTCCACGTCCACCTCCACGTCCACGTCCACGTCCACCTCCATGTCCACGTCCACGTCCACGTCCATGTCCACGTCCACGTCCACGTCCACGTCACGTCCACGTCCACGTCCATGTCCACGTCCACGTCAACGTCCACGTCCACGTCCACGTCCATTCCACGTCCACGTCCATGTCCACGTCCAAGTCCTCCACGTCCACGTCCACGTCCACGTTCACGTCCATGTCCACGTCCAAGTTCTCCACGTCCACGTCCACGTCCACGTCCACGTCCACGTCCACGTCCTCTACGTCCACGTCCACGTCCACGTCCACGTCCATGTCCACGTCCACGTCCACGTCTACGTCTACGTCCACGTCCATGTCCACGTCCACGTCTACGTCCACGTCCATGTCCACGTCCACGTCTACGTCCACGTCCACGTCCACGTCCACGTCCACGTCCACGTCCATGTCCACGTCCACGTCCACGTCCACGTCCACGTCCACGTCCACGTCCACGTCCACTCCACGTCCACCTCCACGTCCACGTCCACCTCCACGTCCACGTCCACGTCCACGTCCACGTCCACGTCCACGTCCACGTCCATGTCCACGTCCAGGTCCACGTTCACGTCCATGTCCACGTCCAAGTTCTCCACGTCCACGTCCACGTCCACGTCCACGTCCACGTCCATGTCCACGTCCACGTCCATGTCCACGTCCATGTTCACGTCCACGTCTTGTTCACGTCCACGTCCATGTCCACGTCCACGTCCACGTCCACGTCCACGACCATGTCCACGTCCACGTCCATGTCCACGTCCACGTCCATGTCCAGGTCCATGTCCACGTCCACGTCCACGTCCACGTCCATGTCCACGTCCACGTCCACGTCCACGTCCACGTCCACGTCCATGTCCACGTCCACGTCCACGTCCATGTCCACGTCCATGTCCTCCATGTCCACGTCCACGTCCACGTTCACGTCCATGTCCACGTCCAAGTTCTCCACGTCCACGTCCACGTCCACGTCCACGTCCTCCACGTCCACGTCCACGTCCACGTCCACGTCCACGTCCACGTCCACGTCCATGTCCACGTCCACGTCCACTCCACCTCCACTCCACGTCCACGTCCACGTCCACGTCCACGTCCATGTCCACGTCCATGTCCACGTCCACGTCCACGTCCACGTCCACGTCCATGTCCACGTCCACGTCCACGTCCACCTCCATGTCCACGTCCACGTCCACGTCCACGTCCACGTCCACGTCACGTCCACGTCCACGTCCATGTCCACGTCCACGTCCACGTCAACGTGCACGTCCACGACCACGTCCACTCCACGTCCACGTCCATGTCCACGTCCAAGTCCTCCACGTCCACGTCCACGTCCACGTTCACGTCCATGTCCACGTCCAAGTTCTCCACGTCCACGTCCACGTCCACGTCCACGTCCACGTCCACTCCACGTCCACCTCCACGTCCACGTCCACCTCCACGTCCACGTCCACGTCCACGTCCATGTCCACGTCCAGGTCCACGTTCACGTCCATGTCCACGTCCAAGTTCTCCACGTCCACGTCCACGTCCACATCCACGTCCACGTCCACGTCCATGTCCACGTCCACGTCCATGTCCACGTCCATGTTCACGTCCACGTCTTGTTCACGTCCACGTCCATGTCCACGTCCACGTCCACGTCCACGTCCACGACCATGTCCACGTCCACGTCCATGTCCACGTCCACGTCCACGTCTATGTCCATGTCCAGGTCCACGTCCATGTCCACGTCCACGTCCATGTCCATGTCCATGTCCACGTCCATGTCCACGTCCACGTCCACGTCCATGTCCACGTCCACGTCCACGTCCACGTCCACGACCATGGGTCCACGTCCACGTCCATGTCCACGTCCACGTCCACGTCCACGTCCAGGTCCACGTCCACGTCCACGTCCACGTCCACGTCCATATCCATGTCCACGTCCACGTCCATGTCCACGTCCACGTCCACATCCACGTCGACGTCCTCCACGTCCACGTCCACGTCCACGTCCACGTCCACGTCCACGTCCACGTCCACGTCCACGTCCACGTCCACTCCACGTCCACTCCACGTCCACGTCCACGTCCACGTCCATGTCCACGTCCATGTCCACGTCCACGTCCACGTCCACGTCCACGTCCATGTCCACGTCCACGTCCACGTCCACCTCCATGTCCACGTCCACGTCCACGTCCATGTCCACGTCCACGTCCACGTCCACGTCACGTCCACGTCCACGTCCAGGTCCACGTCCACGTCCACGTCAACGTCCACATCCACGTCCACGTCCACTCCACGTCCACGTCCATGTCCACGTCCAAGTCCTCCACGTCCACGTCCACGTTCACGTCCATGTCCACGTCCAAGTTCTCCACGTCCACGTCCATGTCCACGTCCACGTCTTGTCCACGTCCACGTCCATGTCCACGTCCACGTCCACGTCCACGTCCACGACCATGTCCGCGTCCACGTCCACGTCCATGTCCACGTCCACGTCCACGTCCATGTCCAGGTCCATGTCCACGTCCACGTCCACGTCCACGTCCACGTCCACGTCCATGTCCACGTCCACGTCCACGTCCATGTCCACGTCCAAGTCCTCCACGTCCATATCCACGTCCACGTTCACGTCCATGTCTACGTCCAAGTTCTCCACGTCCACGTCCACTCCACGTCCACTCCACGTCCACGTCCACGTCCACGTCCATGTCCACGCCCATGTCCACGTCCACGTCCACGTCCACGTCCACGTCCACGTCCACGTCCATGTCCACGTCCACGTCCATGTCCACGTCCACGTCCACGTCCACGTCCACGTCCACGTCCACGTCCATGTCCACGTCCACGTCCACGTCCATGTCCACGTCCAAGTCCTCCACGTCCATATCCACGTCCACGTTCACGTCCATGTCTACGTCCAAGTTCTCCACGTCCACGTCCACGTCCACGTCCACGTCCACGTCCACTCCACGTCCACTCCACGTCCACGTCCACGTCCACGTCCACGTCCACGTCCACGTCCATGTCCACGTCCACGTCCACGTCCACCTCCACGTCCACCTCCATGTCCACGTCCACGTCCACGTCCACGTCCACGTCACGTCCACGTCCACGTCACGTCCACGTCCACGTCCATGTCCACGTCCACGTCCACGTCAACGTCCACGTCCACGTCCACGTCCACTCCACGTCCACGTCCATGTCCACGTCCAAGTCCTCCACGTCCACGTCCACGTCCACGTTCACGTCCATGTCCACGTCCAAGTTCTCCACGTCCACGTCCACGTCCTCGTCCACGTCCACGTCCACGTCCTCCACGTCCACGTCCACGTCCACGTCCATGTCCACGTCCACGTCCACGTCTACGTCTACGTCCACGTCCATGTCCACGTCCACGTCCACGTCCACGTCCACGTCCACGTCCATGTCCACGTCCACGTCCACGTCCACGTCCACTCCACGTCCACCTCCACGTCCACGTCCACCTCCACGTCCACGTCCACGTCCACGTCCACGTCCACGTCCATGTCCACGTCCAGGTCCACGTTCACGTCCATGTCCACGTCCAAGTTCTCCACGTCCACGTCCACGTCCACGTCCACGTCCACGTCCAAGTCCTCCACGTCCACGTCCTCCACGTCCACGCCCACGTCCACGTCCGCGTCCACGTCCACGTCCATGTCCACGTCCACGACCATGTCTACGTCCATGTCCACGTCCACGTCCGCGTCCACGACCACGTCCACGTCCACGTCCACGTCCGCGTCCACGTCGACGTCCACGTCTACGTCCATGTCCACGTCCATGTGCGCGTCTAGTTACCTTTCAAACCCTTACGTTCACTAGATGAATTTATTTCCTACCTTCTATTTGAGTGAGACCACTAGATTCCGTGTACTATGCGAGATCTGAGCGCTTCCGTTCTCCCTGGCATTTGCACTCTAAGTTCCCATACTGACCGACCTGGCCAATGCACCATTTTCCATATACATATGCATTAGATTCCTTTCGAACCTTATTAGCTCACTAGATTTATATATTTCCCACCTTCTGATCGAGTGAGAGTGCTAGATTCCCTTTACTTTTTGAGAAATGAGCGTTTCCATTCTCCTTGGCCCTACTTGCACTATAAGTGCGAAATGCCGGCCAGACTGGCCGATGCTCCATTTTCTCTACACATGTGCGTTAGTTACCTTTCAAACCCTTACGTTCACTAGATGAATTTATTTCCTACCTTCTATTTGAGTGAGACCACTAGATTCCGTGTACTATGCGAGATCTGAGCGCTTCCGTTCTCCCTGGCATTTGCATTTTAAGTTCCGATACTGACCGACCTGGCCAATGCACCATTTTTTCTATACATGTGCGTTGAATACATTTCAAACCTTTTTAGCTGACTAGATTTATATATTTCCCACCTTCTGATCGAGTGAGACCGTTAGATTCCTTCTACTTTTTGAGAAACGAGCATTTCCGTTCTACCTGGCCCCACCTGCACTATGAGTGCGAAATGCCGGCCAGACTGGCCGATGCACCATTTTCTCTACACATGTGCATTAGTTACCTTTCAAACCCTTACGTTCACTAGATGTATATATTTCCTACCTTATATTTGAGTGAGACCACTAGATTCCGTGTATTATGCGAGATCTGGGCGGTTCCATTCTCCCAGGCATTTGCACTCTAAGTTCCCATACTGACCGACCTGGCCAATGCACCACTTTCCATATACATATGCATTAGATTCCTTTTGAACCTTATAAGCTCACTAGATTTTTATATTTCCCACCTTCTGATCGAGTGAGAGTGCTAGATTCCCTTTACTTTTTGAGAAATGAGCGTTTCCGTTCTCCTCGGCCCTACTTGCACTATAAGTGCGAAATGCCGGCCAGACTGGCCGATGCACCATTTTCTCTACACATGTGCGTTAGTTACCTTTCAAACCCTTACGTTCACTAGATGAATTTATTTCCTACCTTATATTTGAGTGAGACCACTAGATTCCGTGTATTATGCGAGATCTGAGCGGTTCTGTCTCCCAAGCATTTGCACTCTAAGTTCCCATACTGACCGACCTGGCCAATGCACCACTTTCCATATACATATGCATTAGATTCCTTTCGAACCTTATTAGCTCACTAGATTTATATATTTCCCACCTTCTGATCGAGTGAGACCGCTAGATTCCCTTTACTTTTTTAGAAATGAGCGTTTCCGTTCTCCTTGGCCCTACTTGCACTATAAGTGCGAAATGCCGGCCAGACAGGCCGATGCACCATTTTCTCCACACATGTGCGTTAGTTACCTTTCAATCCCTTACGTTCACTAGATGAAATTATTTCCTACCTTCTATTTGAGTGAGACCACTAGATTCCGTGTACTATGCGAGATCTGAGCGGTTCCGTTCTCCCAGGCATTTGCACTCTAAGTTGCCATACTGACCGACCTGGCCAATGCACCAGTTTCCATATACATATGCATTAGATTCCTTGTGAACCTTATAAGCTGACTAGATTTATATATTTCCCACCTTCTGATCGAGTGAGACCGCTAGATTCCCTTTACTTTTTGAGAAATGAGCGTTTCCGTTCTCCTTGGCCCTACTTGCACTATAAGTGCGAAATGCCGGCCAGACTGGCCGACGCACCACTTTCTCTACACATGTGCGTTAGTTACCTTTTAAAACCTTACGTTCACTAGATGAATTTATTTCCTACCTTCTATTTGAGTGAGACCACTAGATTCCGTGTACTATGCGAGATCTGAGCGCTTCCGTTCTCCCTGGCATTTGCACTCTAAGTTCCCATAATGACCGACCTGGCCAATGCACCGTTTTCCATATACATATGCATTAGATTCCTTTCGTACCTTATTAGCTCACTAGATTTATATATTTCCCACCTTATGATCGAGTGAGACCGCTAGATTCCCTTTACTTTTTGAGAAATGAGTGTTTCCGTTCTCCTTGGCCCTACTTGCACTATAAGTGCGAAATGCCGGCCAGACTGGCCGATGCACCATTTTCTCTACACATGTGCGTTAGTTACCTTTCAAACCCTTACGTTCACTAGATGAATTTATTTCCTACCTTCTATTTGAGTGAGACCACTAGATTCCGTGTACTATGCGAGATCTGAGCACTTCCGTTCTCCTTGGCATTTGCACTCTAAGTTCCCATACTGACCGACCTGGCCAATGCACCATTTTCCATATACATATGCATTAGATTCCTTTCAAACCTTATTAGCTCACTAGATTTATATATTTCCCACCTTTTGATCGAGTGAGACCGCTAGATTCCCTTTACTTTTTGAGAAATGAGCGTTTCCGTTCTCCTTGGCCCTACTTGCACTATAAGTGCGAAATGCCGGCCAGACTGGCCGATGCACCATTTTCTCTACACATGTGCGTTAGTTACCTTTCAAACCCTTACGTTCACTAGATGAATTTATTTCCTACCTTCTATTTGAGTGAGACCACTAGATTCCGTGTACTATGCGAGATCTGAGCGCTTCCGTTCTCCCTGGCATTTGCACTCTAAGTTCCTTTACTGACCGACCTGGCCAATGCACCATTTTCCATATACATATGTATTAGATTCCTTTCGAACCTTATTAGCTCACTAGATTTATATATTTCCCACCTTATGATCGAGTGAGACCGCTAGATTCCCTTTACTTTTTGAGAAATGAGTGTTTCCGTTCTCCTTCGCCCTACTTGCACTATAAGTGCGAAATGCCGGCCAGACTGGCCGATGCACCATTTTCTCTACACATGTGCGTTAGTTACCTTTCAAACCCTTACGTTCACTAGATGAATTTATTTCCTACCTTCTATTTGAGTGAGACCACTAGATTCCGTGTACTATGCGAGATCTGAGCACTTCCGTTCTCCCTGGCATTTGCACTCTAAGTTCCCATACTGACCGACCTGGCCAATGCACCATTTTCCATATACATATGCATTAGATTCCTTTCGAACCTTATTAGCTCACTAGATTTATATATTTCCCACCTTCTGATCGAGTGAGACCGCTAGATTCCCTTTACTTTTTGAGAAATGAGCGTTTCCGTTCTCCTTGGCCCTACTTGCACTATAAGTGCGAAATGCCGGCCAGACTGGCCGATGCACCATTTTCTCTACACATGTGCGTTAGTTACCTTTCAAACCCTTACGTTCACTAGATGACTTTATTTCCTACCTTCTATTTGAGTGAGACCACTAGATTCCGTGTACTATGTGAAATAAATGACCAGGAATGAAATGACTAAGTCAGAGTTGGGTACAAATACAACCCTAGAAAGCTGTACCCTATATGTGCTACCCCACTATAGCCTACAAACATGCATCAGCAATAATACTCTGACACACCCCCATAGGCAAAGTGGGGGAGAACAAGGGGTCACAAGACCAGTCAACCAAAGCAAAGCAAAGCAAGCTCAGGGTGGATCACAAAATCACCACACAGTCTGAGCACAAGAGCAGGGCCAGAGGCCTCTTCACATGCAGGAGTACAGACATATATATAAAACTAGACAAGCAGGAGCAGGTATATATATGTCACAGAACAAGTAAAGTCAAGAAGAGAGCAAGTGAGGCAAGACAGGCACAAGACTAAGCTGGTTGCAGAAGCGCTGATAGTCACAAGGCGCGAGTGCCTTGGTGAACACATCAGCAGTGTTGGCCTCAGAGGCCACGTACGCAAGTCGCAACTGACCACGCTGCTGCAGCTCACAAGCAAGGAAGTAGCGGAGAGCAATGTGCTTCGTTCTGTGCTCCAAGCGCTGCTCTCGACATAAGGCCAGCATGGCCTTGTTGTCTACGTACAGCACTGGAGGAGAACGAGGCGGCTCTCCAAGGTCAGTCAGCAGGTAGGTGAGCCAGCGAAGCTCCTGTGCAGCCATGGCCCGAGCGTAGATCTCAGCCTCACAACTGGAGCTGAGAACCGAAGACGAGCGAGTAGACCGCCACGAGACAGAGCCGGAACCAAGACTGAAGGTGTAACCCTGTGACGACCGCTGCGTAGCCTGGTCGTCAGCCCAAGAAGCGTCCACGTGCCCTGTAAGGACCACTGGACTCAGCCCTCCAAGCACTAGCCCCATGCCCGACGTACTGCACAGGTAGCGCAACACCCTCTTCGCTGCAGCCATGTGCTCTGGTCGGTGTCTCCCACGAGCAACATAGCGTGCAAGAATGCTCAGAGGGTATGCAAGGTCAGGTCGTGTGCAGGTCATCAGGTACATGAGGCAGCCAACAAGCTCTGGGTACGGGCCACTCGACTCCACGGACTCATCCGAAGGCAGAGCTGAGAGCGAGTGACGAGTAGACAGAGGAGTGGCCTGAGGCGAGGAGTACGTGAAGCCGAAGCGCTGAAGGACCTGCTGCACCATGTGTGACTGAGTCAAGGTAATGGTGCGGCGTGCTCTGTTCCGAGTGATCTGCAAGCCAAGGTAGCTGCGCAGTTCACCCAGGTCTGTGCACGTGTGTCTCTTCAGCAGCTCGGACTTCACGTAGGTGAGTCCAGCAGTGTCCGCTGTGGCAAAGACCAAGTCGTCGACGTACACGAGGATGTAGAACGGCGGCAGAGAAGTGTCGGTGCGCAGAAACAGCGACGGGTCAGCAGTAGAAGGAGCAAACCCAAGAGCCGCAAGCGTAGTCCTCAGTGTGTCGTGCCACTCACGCGGTGCCTGGCGGAGACCGTAGACTGGCCGTCGGAGGCTCCACTGGGTGCCAGGAGGGAAAGTCCCAGTGAAGCCAGGTGGACGGCGCAGCCAGATCTCCTCGTGCAGGCTACCCTGCAGGAACGCAGTGCTGAAGTCGAGAGAGTGAAGCTCGTAGTCGCGCTGAGCGGCTATGTGCAGCAGCACCCGAAGAGTGGTCATCTTCGGGGTGGGAGAGAAGGTCTGAAAGTAGTCAACTCCCTGCCGCTGGCTGAAGCCACGAGCAACGTACCGTACCTTGAAGACAGGTGGAGAGCCC